AAGAAAGGCCACAACGGTGAGAGGCCCGCGTACCGCAAAAAAAAAAAAAAAAATTACTATGGTACGAAAGTTAGGGACCTGTTGCTGTGGGGTGAAGTCAGAGCCTTTGTTGGCTTGGGATTCTGTGACATCGATGGTGTGGCCCTTGTGATTTCCAGTCTAGCCTCATTTCTGCGCACTCCTGGCTTCTTATGTCATGTTCCAGAAATTTTTCTAGAAATTTCTTCAATACTCAGGCTGTTGCACACCATCAAGCCTTTGCCCGTGATGATCCATCCATCTCTTTACCTGCGCTACCCTGTCCCTTTTTTTCACCCATCTGGTGAACTCCTATTCATCCTTCAAAGCCTCCCGCAGATTGGGTCCCCAAATAGGATTTGTTTAGCATGATATTTTGGGGAAAAAATTGAATTTGAATGTTGTCAGTGAGGCATGCACATTCCAGCTCTGCCACACCCCTCACCTCTTCCAGCTGTATTGCAGTCTTACTCCATTTCGTTTATTACAGCCCTGACCTTCTGTGAGAAACGTCTCAGTGTCCCCTTCAGGCAAAAATAATCTATACCTTTCTATACCTTTATATCCATTATTGCGCTTAGCACCCTCTATGAGAAATTTCTGGAATATTTACTTTTTTCAATTATAAAGGTAATATGCATGCTTATTAGATAAATTTTGAAAAATTACACACAAATATTATACAGCTGTCGTAATACTGTGTCTAAAAAGTGTAGAATCTTGATTTTTTTATATAACATTATAATATAAGCATTATTGTGCCATGCTAGTATAATATTTTTTAAGTCTGTTTACAATAATTGGCTGAATCTTTTGAGAGTCAGGACTCCTATTTTGTATCCCCCAGACCCTAAGTGTGTTGTTGGTTTGAGCCAGTATAGGGACTTAATAAACCTTTGTTGGAGTCTAGGGCTGAAAAATCAATTGGTCTCCATCCCTACCTTCTAGGAGCTCATTCTGGGAGAGGAGACACATTTCCACTCATTATGTAATGTATTCATTCATTCATTCATTCATTCATTCAACAGATACTTATTGATCACCTCCTACATGTCAGACAAATTACTAGCACGTTATGCTTCTCTCTTCTTGACCAGGAGTCTTTCCGTATTTCGTTTGGGACTGTGAAATCCCTTGCATTTCTCTTTTTGCTTGTGCTGCCAGGAAGCTCAAAGCTATGCTTTGTACACATTACCTTCCCTCAACCTAAGGCTCTTTGGTATAATTATCTCCTCAGTCTTTTCTTTTAAAACTTTTGTGACCTATGTGTTGTTTTTGAAGCTTTCCAAAACAATTTCTAAGAGTAGATAGATATCACAGATTAATGGGTAAAAAATGAATTTTCAGGATGGAAAGGATGACTTTAAGTTTTTTTTTTAAGTTTTGAAGCATGAATTGAGCCAACCATGGGCATTTGTGTGGGCACATACATATCCAAGAACTGGATGCTTTGACATGTATCCACTTGACCTTGTACTTAAGAGAATGAACTTGGGCCCAAGCCAGACCTGGCTTTGAACCTGGCTACCCACAGCTTGCTTTATGACTTTAATGTCTCTGGGCCTTAGTGCCCTCATCTGAAATGAGGATCGTGATACCATGCAGGGTCATTCAAGGGTTAAGCAAAACAATTTATATAAAGCGCATAGTGTAGGGCTTGACACATAGTAGGTCTGTGATAGATGGCAATTAATACTGTTGTTATCATTACATCTAGCACAGGCTAGACCTTACAGAAAGACTGGGCTGTACATTCGTGTAGCTGCTCCAGGCCATTTTCTAGAATGGCCAGTGTTGAACTAAAATGACCTCCTGTTCTAAGTTAGGGTGGGTCATCCGGGGAGGGCTGCCAAGGCTTGCTTCTCCTTTAGAGAGTAGCTCCGTGCTGGTATTTCTTACTAATTCTCAAATGACAGGAGATGATCACTGCAGAAGCCTCTAGATTTTCTGAGGTCATCCACTTGGGGGTTGGTGACTAAGACTCACAGAGCTCTGAGGTCTCCACCTCCTGATTTATTTGTAAAGTGACTTGAGCATTCTTGCCCAGAAAGTCCCCTAAAGCCCATCTTCTAGTTTTGGCCAGCTCTTGCTTGATTTTATTCTGCTATTACTTTCAGTTTGTTTTTCCCTTATGCCTATTACATTCAATTGCCTGTGGTATTTTTTAGGGAGGGGAGCGTTCACGGGGTACAGAGCTCAGTGTGGCCATCCGTCCCCCATCTTGAGGCTTAGGAGGTGAGAAGGTGCCACCTGTTACCTGGACTGGATGGTGGATGCAGAGTCATGGGTCGGCCCAAAGTGATGCCCGTGGGCTGGGTGTGGACTTATGTCCTCAGATGTCCCCTCTTGCGAGGCTGCGTGCGTCAGCTTTTGCGCGGTGGTGATTCTCCCCACCTCTGCCCTTCTCTGCCAAAACAATTGTTTCAGAGAGGAAGCTCTTTGGGTCATAAAATGTCATCTGGTAGTTAGTATATGGTTATATAGACGTATTGAGTTATATAGTAGCCTGATGAGCAGGAAGTAGGTGATTCATCAGAAAAAAAAAAATAACAAGAAAATAAACTCTTACCAAAATGAACTTCCTCTTTCAGCCACTCTTTGTTCCAGCTCATCCTTTTAGAACCTTCTTCCAGCTTCTTAGAAAACAATTGTCAATCGGGACTAACACAGTGTTTCAAAGAGAGGCCGTCGCAGCCCTTCATAGCCAAATGCATTATTTTTCCATAGTTTAAAAAAAAATAAGCCCCACACTCTCTGTCCCCAGTTGGGCCAGGGTTGGGGTGTGGGCGCTGCCTTGAAGACACGGAACCTTTGCCGGCTCGGGAGACTTCACGTTCAAACAGAAACGTCCGCCAAGGCCCCCCTGAGGTATTTCGTCCCCCCTTCGCTAGAACATCCCATTCACTTGTTTCCCTTCGTTCTGTTTGCCTCACAGATCCAGGAGGCTGCGAGTCGGGGCCTGAAATTCGTCGGGGTCATACCTCAGTACCACTGTCCTGGGCACTCGGCAGGTGGCAGCCCCCCAGCGGATGCCCAGGATGTGACAGAGGACCCTGGCAGGTGTGTGGCTACAGAGAACCTGGGGGCTGCCGACGCTCCGGTGGGGATGGACAGAAGCCCAGAGCCCAGCCAGGGCCCGAGAGGGGAGGTGCCCACCGCCCAGCAGCCCGGCTCGCCCTCGGGAGCTGGGGTTGGCACAGAATCCCCTCCATGCGGGGTGAGCGAGACTCTGGATGGACCGGATGGGGACCCACTGGAAGGGCATGGAGAGCCACTCTCTGGAAGTAAGTATGTCAGTGCTGGGACTCTGACCCTCTGAGAGAGAGGCTGCTAGCTTGTCAGTAATCCCCTTGGCATTTTAGGAAAACGAATGGAACTAGAGTGTAGAGGGAGCAGTCCATCAAACAGGAGAAACCGTTGAGCTGTTTTCTGGGCCTCCTGACTGTTTCCTGCCTGAAGCTGTGACTTCAGGCACAGGGGGCAGGGGGGCAGAACCACATGATGTTGACTCGTAGTTGCTCCAGATTGTCACGTGTGCAGTAGATTCTAGAACGGGAGGTCGTTTCTCCCGCACGCTCTTGCACTGCCCCTGAATTACCCCGTGTGAACACAGGAAGTGTGAACTTTGCTGGGCACCAGTGCAGAAAGCAGCCTCCACTTTTGGACCCCTTGTTTTGAATATCTGCCTAAAGAAGGAAATCAAGAAAGCCAGCAGAGGACAAATGGTGCAGGAAGCTGGTGATTCAGCTCACCCAGCTGTAAACAGCCAGATTTCAGGGAGTTGTATAGTTGACAGATGAGCACCGCAGAAAGAACACTGCCAAGGAGAGGCCACCAGTAAGCGACTCCGCTGAATCACATTGTAACGGCTGTCGGAGCACACTCTTTAGGTTGGGGATTTCAAATAGCACCACAACAAGGATGATAATAGCCAACGTTTATTAATACTTCCTGTGGACCGGGCGCTGGGCCAGCAAGCTTTCCTATGACTATCTCTTCATTTTTCCTATGATGTGGGTGAGCTCTTGCATCATTGCCCATTTTACAGCTGAGTAAACTGAGGTTCAGAGAGTCCATCTGTTGCCCAGGCTGGAAATAGATCTGATGTGTGAGCCCAGGCCGGCTCTCTGCCTGGTCTTTCCTGTGTGATACTCAGACAGACGAACAAGGTTTACTGAGGCCCTCAGTCTACAGGGAGCTAAGTTTCTCTTCATTTCCCTGTGATTCCCTTTCATCTTCCTTCTCCAGGAAATCTAGTCTCGAGCCATTTCCTGAGAGCCAGGCCCTCGTATGAGCTGCGTGGCCTCTTCTAGCCTTTGGGAGGTGACAAGTGACAAGACTGACAGGAGGTGGCCACAGGTCTTACGAAGCCTTTCTCTTTAGGCCTTCCTGGATCATCTCCCTGGTTAATGTTACTATTTACGTACTAATACTTGAAGTTAGCCTCTTAGAAATGACGAGGAACCATTTATACTTTGAGAATAGAAAAGAGGGTGAGGGGCTTCCCTGGCGGTCCAGTGGTTAAGACTCTGCGCTTCCGCTCCAGGGGGATGCGGCTTCGATCCCTGGTCGGGGAACTGAGATCCCGCAGGCCGCGCGGTGCGGCCAGAGAAGAAAAGAGGGTGAAATAGTTTTTCTTGTTATGTCAGTAGTTCCTGGAAAGAAAATTGTGGGCTGGTTAATTCTGGGGCTTGTTTGCAAAGTTGACCTTGGAGGGGGGGTTGGCAGCAGCCTCAGTTCCGAGAGAGATTAGGACCGTTTCATGAAAGCCTTGATCCTTCTTAAATATGGGGGGACTTCTGCCCCCACAGAGTAGCTGAGAGCACGTTTGGGTCCTGTGGGTGCCTCCCAAGGAACATCCCAGTCTTATTTCAGAATCCCCCATTTCTGCATGGCTATTGGGCTGAATCCTAAGAAGGAGGACTGGCCTCCTTGGAGCCCCTCTGCTGTACCATCTCAGGCCCTGGGAGGGTGAGGGGTCAGGGCATCACAGGCCCCAGGAGAGAGGGCAGGGAGCAGAGGGCTTAAGAACCACACCTCTCGAGCAAGATACCCTCCTGTGCCTCAGCTCCTTGCCCTGTAAAATAGGGATTAAAAAAAAAAGTTTCTTGGGCTTCCCTGGTGGCGCAGTGGTTGAGAGTCTGCCTGCTGATGCAGGGGACACGGGTTCGTGCCCCGGTCCAGGAGGATCCCACATGCCGCAGAGCGGCTGGGCCCGTGAGCCATGGCCGCTGAGCCTGCACATCCAGAGGCTGTAGGAGAGATGCATTTAAAGCACTCCTAAGTGGCGGTTCTTATGACTGGGGTACAGGCTCCGTCGTCCTGACCATTGCCCCCAAACCCTGCCTTGGAGAAAGGGGGCTCTTGATACTGAGGGTTCCCTCAGGAGTTTTCAGATATTCCTTGTTCCAGAATCCACTTTTCTCCAAGATTTCCTTCCAGACTTCCTGCTTCCTGGGGTCGAGTTAACTGGGGAGACTTGTCCTGGGACCCTCCGCCCCAGGTCCCTCCTGCTGTCCTGTGACTGTTCCCTCGATCACTCAGACACTCCCCCCCATCGCTGGGCACACAGAGACCACCCCCGCACCCCCCATGATACCCCAAGTGTCTTGGCCTGCATCTCATTTCCTCAAGTCCCTGTTCTCTATGAGAAAATCAGTTCCTGCTG